GCTGGGTGATTCTTGTGGGTCCCTCCTGACTCAGGATATTCTGCCATTCTGTTCTGTGACTCTGGTGTGGAACATGGTGCTGCAGCCCAGGTTGCCCCAGGTGAAGTCAAAAGCAGCTGTCAGAGGTGGCCCAGGTGTCCGCAGGACCTTACAGAGTGCTGGGAGCACCGGGTGGGGATGGGCACCCCCAGCCCCCCGTTCCTGTCAGGCTGGGCACGGCTGTGGGCCTGGTGCCTGCTGCAGGGACTGGCCCCTCCTGGCCCAGCTCTGTGTGTGCTGCTGGGGACAGGGACAGTGCCCGGGCTGTGCCAGCCCTGCTGTGGGGACACCACACCCCCCAGAGAGAGCTCAGTGCTCCCCAGCCTGTTTTGCAACCTGTGATAAAAATAAATGCTGGGTTTGTGGAGGTCCTGGAGCAGGGTTTTGTTTTGTTGCACGATGGAGGGAGAAGCCCTCCCAGCTGGAACCCAGGTTTGGAATAAGCCTTTGTTTGTCCCTTCTTTCATTTTTTGTACATTAACATTATACAACTTATTATTTTTCAAAATTAGCAAAAACAACTGTAGGATGTAGAGAGAACCTTAGGGAATGGTGGCAAAGCAGCTGATACCAAGCATCCAGTGTGATGAACCCTGGCTCTTAGTTCAGCAAGGCAAACACACTCGTTAAGGCACTGCTGGCGTCTCCCAGAATTCCAGGACAGTGCTGTTTGCAGTCCCATAACAGAATAACAGCAGGTCTGCCTTGTTGTTTGGTGGTGTTTGCTGTCTGTAGAGTCCCTCTGCCGTGCTGATAACCACAGTTACAGGTGACCTGCCCCATTCTGCTTTGCTTTGCTCCACCTGAAGAGCAGCACAGGGTCAGTGTTTGAGGTATGAATACCCTTTGCTAAAGCCAAACCAGAGTTTAGAAATCATTTGCAGAGCTTTGGGGAGGACACATCCCCAGGATATCTGTTAGTCTTACGTGTTTTGTTTTGTTTTGTTTCCCTTCTCTGAACCCACACAGCTGAGTTGCAGTTTGCCTTCATCTGTTTCCTGATTGGGAACGTGTATGATGCCTTTGAGCACTGGAAGAGGCTCCTGAACATCCTGTGCCGCTCAGAGGAGGCCATGGGGAAGTACCAGGACCTTTACATCAACCTCATTTCCGTGCTCTATCACCAGCTCAATGAGATCCCAGCAGATTTTTTTGTGGACATTGTCTCCCAGGACAACTTTTTAACCAGCACCTTGCAGGTGTGTTGGGGCTGTTCCCTGGGAAATGGGGTGGGAGGAAGGGCATCATCAAATCTGGGGAGAAGCAGCCAAAGGAGTTCAGCTGTGTGGGAGATGGGAGCCTGTCTGAGCACTCAGGGCTTCACTTTGACTTTTTGCCTCTTTTATTCAGTGAGAAATTCAGCTCAGCAGATACAAGAGAGGCTGGGCAACTGCAGCAGGGTGTCTGTTTGTTTAACTTTTCCAAAGTGCAATTCATTTTTCAAAAGAAAAAACAACACACAAAGCTTTGGCATGAAGGACTGATGATGCTGATTTTTGGACTGGTTTGCTCAGTGTGCAGGGAAGCTGCAGCAAAGCTTTATTGAGACAAGGGCAGTGATGGTGTTAAGGAAGCTTTTCGATTGCTTAGCACAGCTGAGGATTTCCTGCAGTCAAGTTCTTCTCCAGAGGGAATTAATGGTTATTCCAAAATGCAAAAGGTGCTGCCTCTGCTGGGACAGGTGGGGCAGGTGTGTGCCTCAGCCCAGTGAAAGCAGTTACCCACGGTAGCAGTGATGGGGCAGGACAGTCAGGACAGATGGAGACGAGAGATCTCTGCAGCCAGGGCTGGAACTTGGGGTTCATTGCAAAGGGCCTGGGGGCACGGCCCTGCTGGGAGCTGCCAGACACAACTCAGAGCAGGCTGAGAGAAGGAAAGGGAGTGGGAAAGAGAATGAGAGAGAGGATAAGAGGGTAAGAGAGTAAGAGAGCAAAGTTCCCGTTACAATACCATAAATCTTCTTCTGTGCTGTATATTCTGTTTCTCACTAAGTAATCTAGTACAAGATACAAATCATATAGCATTTACATACAGCTATAAGAGCCATTACATTACCATACTGTGTTACATTTTAAACCCTAAAAACTCCTCTTTGGGCCCCTTCTGCCAAGCTGTAGGGTCTGCTCTGACCCTTGGGCCTGTCTGCAAGCAGAGGGTGTTGTTTGATCAAAAGGGGATCACCTTCAGCTGGCCACACCATTGCTTTCCAGTTGTTCAGTAACTGAGGGATCTCAAAGCTTGCTTTCATTTAAATCTCGCTTATAGTTTCCATATTCTCAAAATCTTTTGCCAGACAATCATATTGATAAGGCTTTCCTGTTTCATCTTCCCCAACACCCACTGCTGGTGCCCATGCTGGCAGTGCAGCAAACTGGCTTATTTTACAGAAAAGAGCCCAAATCAGGCACTGACAAAGCTGAGCAATGGGAAGCAGCCCAGCAGGGAGCTCTGCTGCAGGTGCAGTTCCATTCCTCTCCTTGGTGACCCCAAGTCCTTGCTGTACTTGTGGGGAAGGTGAAGGTGTTTGGGTTTAATTCCTGGATAAAATGTTCTGGGAAGCATTGCTTTAATCAAGTGGCTTTCAGATTTTTCAGTTGTGATTCTTACAAGTCTCAGGAAGGTTTTAATTTACATTTTATTTCTGTTGGTAGATTTTTTCCATCCTGGTACAGGACAGCGCAGCTGTGTTTGCAGCATGCTCAGAGCAATGCTGTCAGTTCCCAGCAATACCCAGAATTTGGGAAACCCTTCTGGCTGCCTGAGTCCTGTCCATCCCTGGGCTCCCTCAGTCTGTGTTTCACCCCCTCAGCAGGAGCTGTGCTGGTTCAGGATCACCCCTAAGCCCTGCAGGACTCACCACGTTCCCTTTGCAGACTGAGCCCCTCCTCACTGAGCTCTCCATGCTCTGCTCCTGTGGGATTTCCTCAATGGAGCCAGGGAAGCTCTGGGCCTTGCCTTACCCACTGCACACACAGACTGCAGAGCTGTGGGGAGGGCATTGTCTCTGCAGCTCCTGCTCAGCCCTGGAAGCAGCAGCTTCATTTTTGGGGTTTGAGCCAAGGCAAGAGGAGCACGGCACAGCCACCAGTGACTCTGCAGCCCTACCAGTGCTTAAAGGAAAAACAAAACAGCTTGGTGAAATAACTAACTTAATGTGCAGTTCATTGAGAAGAAGTAGGAAGTAAAATCTTCTAATCATTTTTCCCTACCAGCAGCATTTCTGTGTAAGAATTCTGTTAGGAAGAGGCAGTTTTCCAGTAGAATGAGCAAGAAAAAGGCAAATGTTCATCCACAAAGCAGAGAACTTTGCTGCGCATTGTCAGTGTTTTATCTCGCTTCCAGTAAATAAGAGGCTGTGTTTTCCCCAGAGGAGATTTCTTTTTATGGCAATTATTTCTGTTTCAGTTCAGGAGGAGCAGTGCTGGGCTCTGGGCTCAGTGCCCTGTTCATCACACTCAGGTGCTTTCCCCTGAGTCCAGCAGAGGCTGAGTTTGTGACATGTCAATAGATTTGTGTTTGGGGATGGAAGGCAGAGGTTCCCCCCCACTGCAGCACCCTGTGCACAAGGGGATGGCTGTGCTGGGGATAACCAAGCTTTTCCAGAGAGCTCCCATTCCTTTCTGACATTTAAGGTATTTAAGTTTCCTCTGTGTCCTGAAGTGTTGGTAATACCTTGTTACAGAAATGCTTTGGGAGATCTCTGCCCATGCAAATGAGGGATGCAATTATTTGCTGGCCTTTGGACACTTGCTGGAAGTTTGCCTACTCATATTTGAATTTTTTAAAATGCCTTCTGTCAGGATGTTTTCCTGAGCTCACCTTTGGGCCTATTTCAGAATTGCACAGTACAAATTCAGTTTCAAACACCCTCCTGCCTCAGACCAAGCTCTGCCCTGAGTGCAGATGTGTGTGGTGCTGCTCAGTGCTGGGAAGGCCGGATGGGCTTGGGCTGGGAGGTGAGAGCTGTGGGCTTTGGCTGGGTCCCCCCAGAGCTGCAGGATCCCAGCCTGGTGTCCCTCAGGGAGCAGGTGCCCAGCTGGGCTCTGCCTGACCTCTGCTCTTTGTTTCAGGTGCTGTTCTCCTGCACCTGCAGCTCTGCTGTGGATGCGGCTCTGAGGAACAAGGCTGAGAAGTTCAAGGCTCACCTGACAAAGAAATTCAGATGGGACTTTGAGGCAGAGCCTGAGGACTGTGCCCCTGTGGTGGTGGAGCTGCCTGAGGGTGTGCAGGTGGACTGACCCAAAGGGCCCTTTAGGAGCAAACAGCTTCTAAAATGAGCTTTCCTTCTCTTCTGCAGCCCTGCCAGCTTCTTGAGGGCTGTGTCTGAAGCTGATCCTCTTTCTGCTGGAGAAGCAGATGTGGGAAACCCAGGAGGATGCTGAGCTCTGTGAGGAGCCCAGAGGTGTTGGAGGAGTTTGAGCGTTGCCATGTGGCACCTTCGGACAGGTTGGGGTTTTCCCAGCCCTCCTGCAGTGTCACCTCCTGGGACACAAACCACAGGCAAAGTCACACAGTCATTAAAGATCCAAAAGACCCTTTGATATCATGGAGTTCAGCCCTAAACCTGACACTGCCACAATCCTGCACTCAGCTGTCCTCTCATCCC